GAAATATTTATTATACCTGCAGGGTTGAAGGGGTTATAGCTAGTATGCCACTTTTCAAAAACATATTCATCTAATATTCACATTTTCAGTCGCTTATATAAAGGTGGAGTTAGGAGCAATGGGTATTTCATCGTCGGTCTTAACTATTCTTTTTTCTTACATTGGAGAAACCTTAACATATTCCTAAGTTGGTTTAAGTTAGTAAGTAAGTAAGTTTGATTTTAAGTCACATGGATAACATAACATAAACATAAACATTAACATTAAAATTAGCATTTTAAATGTATTATTGATCAGCGACTTTGAACTTAAACTACTAAGAAGCAACTTACAAGGAAAATAATCGGAATAATCTATATGGCAGTAAAGATCATGATCATTATCATATTGAGTATCATTATTACCTGATAGAAAGATAACGATTACAAACTGATCAGATGGATAAGGCTTATTTTGTCAACCTACAAAGCATCAGTTAATCCAAAAGTTAGATCACCTTAGAAAAAGAACAAATAAGAAACTTTACTTAACCTCATGCACTGCCCTTGTACCAAGTACTCTCAGCATAAGGTTCTTCCATTAATAGCATCCGGAAGATCACACCTTGGAGATCAAGCAATTATGCTTGGGTGGAACTAATTCGATCCGAGGCTTATTCCAATTTAATCATCAGCTGACACTTATAAATAACCAATTTCCTCTCGCTACCAGAATTGGTGTCGAGAGGCGAATGGGGAAACCCACACACGCGGATCACGCATGTGGAGTTCAAAATCGAGGCTGTTGCATAAATCAATGCCACAAAGACACACAAAAGTTGAATTGTGTGCAGTGCCCGTGGCACTTGACCACTGGCCCCTCCTTACCCCCTTTCCATCTCCTCCACAGCGACGAGGAAACCAAACTCCCAGAGAGAGATCCTCAGCCAAAGGTGTTAATATTCAATTAAAATTCTAGGCTCACCGGGCGAGTGGCTAATAAATTAGCGCTCAACAAGCGACTTGCCAATTTCAATTTGTTTTCGTATCACTTGGACAGGGGATCCAGTAGGGGATCGGAGGAGAGGGATTTGTGGTTGGTGGCTTGTCCAGGCTGTTGGCCAATTTATTTATTAAGCTGCGCAGGTGGCAAAGATTGAGATTTGCTGCGAATTTGTTTGCATTGCTGACCTCGGAGGAGGGTCAGACATGCTGGGAATGGTGGTAAGGCCTAATCAGATCAGATCGGAAATGGAAACTCTGCCAGCTAAGACGACTACCATTCCCATATCCCATATCGACCAGTCTCAATCACGACTCGTGCCTCCACTCGCCTGAGATGCTCTGCATGGGATCTTGTAATCGACGTTGTAGTTGGACATTTCTGCTTACACCAATGCTCGACGTGGAGCCACTTTAATGGAGGATCTAGACTCGTTGCTGCCAACGATCGGTATTTATCGCCCCAGATTGAGTTGGAGCTAGGGGGCCGACGTAGGCTCGTTGGGATAGCTCTTGTGCGCCAGCCAGCATTCCAGCTTCGTTCTAAAGGTGGCCACTGCATGTGGTCCAGCAGGGATAAGCTCGAATATGATCACTGATTGAGCTTGAGCCACAATTAGAGGCGATTGTTTCCGATCGGAAAAGGGTAAACAGAGTTAAAGATGTAGAATGCAAATCGGGATTATCTGCTATCTTATATATTATTGATCAAATGATAAGTTATAGAATGGGTATAATCTTTTTATAAGGAACTTTATAAAAATAAGTTGTGATCTGTGACTTAAGATATGGTCAAAAGAATGTATTTTTGAGATATGTTTAAAGAATTTATGTGACTATTTTCTCTATTTCTAAACAGACGAATCACTTCCCCACCAGCAATCCTTGGTCTTCAATGAGATTAACATGCTCATTATTTGTGTGCAAGTCTCTTGATCTCACTCTACTGGGGGTCCCAGTTGCCGAGTTGCCAGGCTGCCAGAAGGGGGAGTTCCATTAGAGGCATTAAAATAATTTCAAAAGACATAAATTTTGAATTATGGCCACACAACGTGGACACGAACTATGTATGTGGCAAGCAGCAAGCAGCAAGCACCATGCACCGAGTACCGTGATGGCAAAAGTATTTTAAATCAATTTCGCTGGGGGAGTGCTGTGTGCCAAGTGTTTTCACTATAATTACAGACAATTTCAGACATTCACCGTCGTGCCTTCCCCCTTTACCCCCCCAATTCCCAACTGCACTTCGGCTCGCTGAGATGGCCATTTAAATTGATTTATGAGCGCCTGATCGAGCGCATTTGTTCGGGGCGGGGCAACAGAAGGGGTCTTTCTGGGTGGGGGACTGGGACCCCATAACTCATGATCGCTTTTTCGCCCAGTTGCTGCTAATTAAATTTGCATAAGGGGCGCACTTATTTGCCAGTGGGAGTGGCTCAAGGGGACAGCTGCCGCTTGTTGTTCTCGGTGGTATCCTGCGTCAGATCAGGTAGCCAGATGATGTCTGATGTCTGAACCCTTGTCAGGGAAGATGAAGAAGTGGCCCAGTTTCAGACAACCCCTAACAAGGCCAAAAGGGTCAAGGGGTCAGTGGTTCGTTAGTGGGTACTCGAAAACAATGCCATCTTTAATTGATTTAAGATTCCGAAGATCCACTGAAGAAGTCTGAGCATTTGTCAGCGATCTTCGGTGACTTTTAATTGCCTGGGAAATTTGTAACTCAATCAGCCTGGCATTGTACCAGTTGAGTTCTGGCCGGTCCAATCCTAATTGCAGGCGATTCAGGACCTCCAGGAGCCAACCTTATAGATGCACAGATACACAACGGTAATTGCGTTCCAGCGACAGGAACCAACCGATAATGGGAAATGGGAAAAGCACAAACTTTTGGCAGGCATATTTATGCACAAAATGAGCGACTTTTTCAAACGAAAGTGTCGATAGGCGGAACCACGTTAGCTGAAGGACAAAGGACACACAAAGGGATGCGAAGGAGGAGTAGCGGAGAAAGAGAAGAACAGAACAGGCAGAGGAAGTGCCATAAAAATGCAATTTTAGATTCCATCAACTGATAAGAAAAGTTTTTAAATTAGCCGCCAAATGGGAATGCGAACTTCGAAACTGTAAAATGAGCAACAGACAAAAACAACAGAAATGTTTGATTAGAAAACGAGCTAAACGAGGACAGCAATCGTGAAAGGAGGAGCAGGAGTAGGATGTTCGTCCTGCAAATTGCCCTCGTCACGCCAGGACACCGTTAGAAACTTTCTGCATGTTTCCATTGCACTTCGGCCCCTGCCACCGACCACCCACTGCCTGGAAAATACCTACCTGCTTGGATATCCTCAAAGGAAAACGCACTCCGCCGAAAAGAGAGCAAAAGTATCAGTTTCAGCTTATCAAATTCCTGCCATCGCAAGTGGGACAGATTAGCAGGAGAATCAATGGGAAAATGTAATGGAATTGGAAATGGAAATGGAATTGAAAATGGTATGGAAAATGAAAATGCAATGAGGCGCACTTTTTCGGCATTTGGCGAGATCTTCAAGACCTGATCTAAGGATCGAAAAGAAGAAGCAAAAGACAGCGCTCAAGTAATTAACGCCCCTATAAAGGAGCTGCATCCGCATCCTTCTCCGGGACGGAGATGAGTCCGAGTCTCAGCCCGAAAACAGTAGCTAGCCGACGGCGCCTTAAGGATTTGCCTAAATGTTAATGATGATCTGATCTCCCTTGTTGGTTTGTGTGAGTGAGAGTGAGTGTGTGTGGGTGTGCTACCGTTTGTTTGCCATTCCAGCTGAAAGAAAAAAAGATCTGGTGTGAAGATCGGGGCGGTTTTCTGTTTGTTTGGCTTTGCCTCGATAATCGCTGATGCGATATTAATTAATGCGATTCACTGGGCTTCAGTATTTCCGCTGGTAGGAACTGTAGAAGGTAGATAAAAATATTAATATACACAAAAAATTATCAATAAAAGATATAAGGTTCAGTAAGAAAATTAAGCCTTCCTGTTTATTTTATATTTAAGCTTTTATAATTATTTATTGAATATTTAAAAGTTGTTTAAATAAATGATCTACTAAACGCAAGTAAATGAATCGGTAAGAAATACACAGATCAGTTAAGTACGAGTACGACGCTTGTTAGTCGTTAAGTTCTTACAATACGAGTATATACATACAGGGAATACCATAACAATCTGATCGAATTACTTTAAATAAAGAATTCAATTAAGGCAGCTAAACGTTTAGACAGATTTTGTGTATCAACACTTGCAAAAATACGAAAATTGCTTACAAAAAATTTACTAATACTTTATAAAAATAAGTTTTTCTTCGACGAGCTAGATTTAAGCTAGCTAAGTGATTATGAAAAGGGCAACTAATATAGTTATGAGCAGTTTTAGGACACTCATGATCGATCCTTGCTCTTTGCGTCTTTAAGATATCCTTTTAAGCTGAAACTTAAGTTTCTAAAGTATATCGGTCACGAATATATATGTACATATTTAGCATTTATAAAGTTGGCAATTGTAAGAACTTTTGATCTTTTTAGGCAGTGCAAGCACTGAAAAAATAATATTGAACTGAAGCTCATAACGATATTACCTATTATTGATTATCTTAATTTATTATTATTTAATTATTTTCTATACTTCGATACTACACATAATATAATTGGTTGAAGGTATAGTAGATAGAAGGTATTCTTGATTAGGATCACTAGACAAGTCGGTCTACCAATGGCCGTCTATCTGTATGATATCAAACAAATCGGAAACTATAATTTAGTGGTTTTTGAAAACGTGCCGTACCTACGACACCTTTTGACGAATTTCTTACTTCACTTTCATTCAACAAAATAAGTAAGTCTTCTTTAAGTGTACTATTGATCTTTTGGGCAAGACCAAATCAGACTAGAACGTAAGGTCTGACTAATGGATTTGAGATTTTCTTTATAAAAAGAAAGCTTAGGTAAAACTTGAGAGTAGAATATTGAATATTACCGAACAGAACAGAAATGCGTCTTGTTTTAGTATACTTTGGTAAGTTCCAGTTGTTCTGACCGGTAAGCGAAAACACAACAAATTTTATTCTCTTTGCCGTAGCTCTGTTCTACCTGTTTCATTTTGAAGTCTATGCATTTTCTGATAAACTTGATAGCTTGCGAGCCTGGTTCGCTGCAAATGTCGAAGGACGGAAAGACCAGGAAACGATAGATACAGTGAAAAAGATCTGCGTTATAGAAGTGAAGAAGGGAAGCAAACATAAAATAAATATTGGAAACATTGACATAACCAATAAGAACACATTGGAAAACTTCATAAAACTCCCGAGTATCAAAATGCCGAACATTACGATAGTTATTGTAGAAGATGAGTTGGCTAAAAAGGCCCGAACGGCTAGTACGTATACAGCAACCGAAGTCGAGAAATTACTTGAACAGTTCAAAAAATGCGTACTTCATAAACTAAAGGTGCTATCCTAACTAACATTCAGACCAATAATAAAGCTGTTTACTCCTTAAATATGTTTTTAAGATGCACTTTCTTGTCACTCTTCGAATTTAGGTTAACAGAACTTCTGAATACCAAAAAATGTAATAAGCATTAGTTTTACATAAATATATTGCGAAAGTCAATGAAATTTGGCTTATGTAGTCTTTTTTATGATTTGACAAAATGTGTTTGTAGTTGTTGGATATTTCAAGCAATGCGAAAAATTGAGAACATTAAGTAACCTTTTCTAATGGAGAAGTAAATTCTACTACTTTCTGAATGGCGTATTAATATTCGTTATCTGATTAGATCAGCTTTCATGCATATTTCAATTCACTCTTCTTCGTTAAACGATTGCCCTAGTCTACAAATATTTACTCTTTATTTTTATCAAGATTTATGTGCACTTTCGGGGTAAATTAAAATATTTTTCAATGAGCTTTTTTAAAGCTTTTCTAATAACTACTATTTTTGTTATAACCCAATTCTTAAATTGGTTTTATTAGTTTGGGAAAGACTAATACCTTCCTCTTTCCCACAAAATAAGCTTGATTTAAAGAATGGTTCACTGACCCCAACCTAACAACAAACTAACAAAACGTTATTTGTTTTATTATAAAATTATGGAATTCTTTTTATTAACGTTACTTTTAATTTTTTAATTTAATGAATTATACTTTGTTTTTAATACGATCCCTTATTTACGGGAGTTTTTCGATTTATTTTTTTTCTTCTTAATCTTTATAACTGCTAAAGGTTTTTTAAGAAAACTGTTGAACAATAAATAATATTTAAAAAAAAAACTGTTTACTTTTAAATATATCCAGTATTTTATTAAATTTTTTATATTTCCACTAATTTTCAATATTTTTGCATCAACTCCGCCCTGTGTGAACACCAGGGTGAAGGTGCGATATTAATCGTATCAGTGCTACCATCTATATTAAAGTATCGATAGGCCAGACAGGATATGTATTGTAAAACAAATCACAAAGTTTGTTTCAAACTAAGCTGCTAAAGTTTTTTTTTAGCCAACTAATTTAAAAATGGTTGAGATGGACGAGTTGGAGAGAGAGCAACTGCGCAAGATTTTCGTCGGAGGACTGTCCATCGAAACCACAGACGAAAGCCTGAAATCCTATTTCGAGAAATTTGGCACCGTAGTGGAGGCGGTGGTCATGAAGAACACCAAAAACAAGCGCTCCCGCGGCTTTGGTTTCGTCACATTCATGGAGTGCTCCATGAAGGAAAACGCTCAGAGAATTGAGCACACCATCGACGGAAACATTGTGGCCTTGCGAGAGCCTTACCAGCGCCGTGTGTTGAATCCCGATTTGGATCGATCCCTATGGTATCAGAAACGACGCCGAAAGAGACTAAGACCCAATCACGGAATTCATCGTTCGCGTGGTCCGAAAAGAAATAATCTCAAAAAGAAAACAACCGTTGAGATGGTGCCAGAAGCACTTGGAAACCAACTTCCAAACTAAGTGTAAAAACTACAGGGACAGCGATAAAATCCTTGACATAACCCTCCGCATCGCCAAGCTGATAAATTTTTAAAAACCAAATCTTAAAAAGACACTGAAATATTTATACACCGGATTCAACTAACAGTTGAATTAAAATCATGAATTTAATTTCGGTAATCTGAAGTATTGAAAACCCTCATTAACAAATATTTAATACGACAGGACCTTGATACAATACTTAAAACACTTCACATTAGAGATCTAATGACCGAAACAACTCAATCATTATCTGCAGGGTAGAAACTAAATTAATGTACATTCATATAAGCATCCCCAGGATCTCGTATATATTAAGTTGATAATATAACTAAAGCGAAAATGTAAACTATATATTTTGATAGAAATAATTTGTCTTTAATAAATTCATTTTCGAATATCTAAGAATGTCTAGTATCAACAAACAAATATAATTGTAATACAATTTGATAATATTAAGAAACAAACTTTGATTCTTTACTCGATTTTTAAGGATATAACAATAAGGGCCTCGTACCCTAACACCATTATTATTGCATTTTATTTAAAAAGAAATAAGCTTACGACAGTTTTGTGAGTAGAATGATTTGTGGTTTGAGTATGTGCTTATAGAGCAGCAGGGTTATCGTCCTTTATTATCTTAGCCGCATACCCACTCATCAACGGTCACTCTGGTTTCGATAAAAATGCATTTCGTCCGCATCTATGGTATTTTTGGGATTTTCCGCTTATACGGCCATACTACATTGTAAAGAAGTAAAAAGAGAAGCAACAGCGTGAGGTGTAAATAATGTAAGGAAATTTAATATTGTAAAAGCGACCAAAAAAAAGATCCAGTGTGTTCAAAATCGAGTTCGATTGGACCGGCGGAAAACCGATTTACATTTCCCAGTACGAAGCGCAGTCGTGGAAAACGCAGCACACGCACACACAATCAAAGTGCACACACATATGGACTGATATTTTTCGTCTACGTTTCAATTCGATTTTCGGAAATTTCACCTTCGCGTTGCTGTTTTTCGGCTATTTCAAACTTGTTTTCAGCTGTGTGCGCCCCGCCCCCTCCATCCACCCCCTCCTCGTTCCGCTGGCAGCCGCTCACTTTTTAATTTGCTTACGTATTACGCTCGCGTGCCAATTCGCAGTGTAAATCGTGCATTATAAACGCAAAAGCTGGCATAATTCCACGCACATTATTCATCCGCTGCTCTCCAGTTGTCCCGCAATCAGCTGTAGAAATCGTGTGACGCCAAAGATAATGCGAATCGGTGAAAAAACGGTGAAAAGTTAAAGAAACGCAGTCGGAATGTGTGTCAAAAAGCAGCAGCAGGTGTAAATGCAGTGTTCTAAAGCGCAGCAATTCTAACTGCTTCTGTGTGCGTCTGCGAGTGTGTGTGTGTCGCAAACATATGGCAGCAAATAAATAATAATCGCAGTTAATATATTTCGCAGTTAAAAGAAAATTCTGATGTCCAAGCCAGAATCATCTAAAAGTCCCCCGTGAGCTTGAGCTTGGAACCCAACCCAGAACCAGGTCCAATGACAAATGTAACAACCGAAACTCACCAACCGCCCTGAGGAAGCAGAAGACAGTCTCCCGAGGTCAACCCACCACCACCCCCGATTTATTATTATTTCCTTTTCGTTTACTTTTTAACCCTCCGCTCGAGAACGTGGTTTCTTTTGCGACGTGCAATACTTTGTGGCAAAAGTCTTGCATCGTTCCAAAAGAGAGCAACCACTTGGAGCGACGAGCACGGCCGTACAATACCCAAATCCGTGGCCACCAAGCTGCAGCGTCTCAAGGCCAAGGCGTCTGCGAGCCAGCACTACGGTCGAAAGTCATCGTCGGCTATCGGGAACCAAAGCGAAGGCGGCGATAGGAGCTCATCCTCTGGAATCCACGGTGGCCACAACCATCAACGCGGTGGCGCCGCCGAGGAACCCAACTTTGCTCTGGCGGACGTGGCCGAGAAGTCATATCAAAGCCACAACAACAACAATTATCAAAAGTCAAACCACACCAGTGCCAATTACAACCACTCCAACTATAATAACCACCCACAAAGCGCCACCACCAACCTGCCTTATCAGCCCAATAACAATATCAACACGATGATGATGACCAAACAGAAGAATTCGCTGGCCGAGCGCCTCAACATCGGCGAGGAAGTGCGGGAGCTGAAGTTGGGTGCCACCTTCAATCCGAAAAATACCTCCACCGCCTTCCATACTATCAAATGTAAGTGCTGCCTGCAGGGGGGATGCCCCGTATCTCCAGTCAGAACTTATCCAAAAATGCCTCGTCTTGCAGATGATTTCAAGCCAGCAAGTGTGGACACCAGCCGCATGGCATCTGTGGATGTGGGCTCCAACAATCAAGTTACTGTTATCGTGCCAAATTCAGGTAAGTGCACTCGGAACCAAATATTTATAAATTGAACCATATATATCCATCGAACCATTATATGATATAGATATGTGTATAAAGAGGATTGGTCATTTAATTGACCATATACTCATATGTATAGACCCCATGCCATACAAGTATTTACATTTTATATTCAAATATCTGAATGATAACTATTGGTAGCAAATAACTATATTAATTAGTTGATTATGAATTTGGTTTTGCTTATCTTCATGATGGTTTTTATGATCCCGTATCAACATTATATTTAAACTGTAGATATCTTTTCTGACAGCTTAAAAAGATTGTTAAAGAGGTTACATTTGTAATAGATGATTACTTGATTTTTTTTTTAGAAGTTTTGTTTGAGCAAAGAAAGCTGAATAGGTTCCAGCTTCCGTGCTTCAAATAACTAAAATTACCTACAATAAAGTGGGTTGAGCACCTGTTCTGTCGAATTCACCTGTTTATTTTGATGAAAATGATATTATCGGAATGACCAACTTCGCAAGAAGCTTCATTAAAAGAAGATTTAGAGCAATCAAGAACACGTGCTTTAGGCTAAGTTAAGACTTACTGTCAAGTTGGCAGAAAATCATCACGACCTGTTATTGACATTGATGATAAAACAATTTTCTTGTACCCCAAAGAATCAAGAATTTGTTAAAGCAATGAAATACATATATATTGTTCATTACATATAGTATGTTGTAATGATTCATCCGTTAGCACTCGCGTGATCTTATACAAATTGGATCTAGACGCACAATCCTGTTGCTAATCACCTTTAACGAACCATGTTTTATTGACAGACTTACAATGGAATAAACAATGCAGAAAAATCAGTCGATTTATTGTCGTGCTTCAGACACGCAATCCAATAAGGTATTCAAATTAGAGCGAACCAAAGAGATTTTGTGTTTGCATCTGTAATATTGAGACTCAAACTTACACAATGATTTCGAAAGGGTTTATATTAAATTTGTGGGTTTTTTCCTTGTAATTATGAATATTTTAAAGTAGACTATACTCGTTTTAAGTTCTGAATTTAAACAGTATTTTATATGCAAGTAGAAGTACCACCATTTACATATCGCAAAAGACTTTCAAACTGAAAGTAAATAGGTGTTGACTGTGTGTGGTTAATTTGGTGTGGTTTTGCCTGTCTGATGACATAATTTGCCTGCATTATACAGTAGAAACCAGTTGCAGTGTCTATTCATAAGTACAAATTAATGGCTAGCCCTGTGCACTATTTGAATCGAGCAAAAAATCGCGGTCGTTTGGCGAGCGAAGAAAAGGCCAGCTTTGGAGCAAAGACACCAAATTACATCAAGTCAGGCAAAGTGCAGCCAAGCGTTCAAGTTTTCCTCCTCGGCTTCTCCGTACTAGCATTATTCCGCTATACTCTTCGTGGCCAGACATCGTCTGTGGGCTGACGTTGGACCTCATTGTGGCCGACTTGGCTTGTGTAACGCTCCGTTGATTGCGAGCGACGAGTCGCCAAAGAGTTTTGGCTGCGGCAGCGACTGTGGCGACGACAATACCAACGGAATTTGGTCAAGTGTGTGTCTGGAAGTGGTGCGGTAACTGTCCGATCTGTCCCGCTTTACGCCTCCCTCGGAAGCGGACGGGTGCAGCCAAATTGCGCACAATATGCTGAACTAGTTTCCAGTTTGGTATCGGCCAAAGCCAAGCATTCCGTTCAACCTATCAATTGGCGTACTTCAATAATCATAACAACGATAACCAACCGTATCGTTTACTCATAGCTACAGCCAATCTGATAGTACTTCATTGTTTGTTACAGTACTATCTGTTGATTTAAATCGACATACTGTCACTTTCAGAGATGTCTTTTAAGTAGTCTGGTGATTGGCCAGGTGCTCAATGGTCAGCAGATTAAACTAATAATAACAAACATAAAGATAGTACCAAAAATGTTTGTAAAATTATCTTTTGGTAAACCAAATTAAATGTATTTGTAGCGAAAATCAAGTACCTTTTTGATGAGGGAGCATCAATCCCTTATATCAATATAATTTCGTTTTCTAATATCAAACTACAAAAAAAGAAAACATAAAAAAATTAATTCTAACAAAATAATGGTTTTAATAATACACTAAAAACGCAAAAAGCAAAAGTTTCTTTGAAATTCTTTTTAAAAGAACCCAAATTTATGCTTTGGAAAGTTCTTAAGTATCTACATATGTATATCAGCTCGATAGTTTGTAAATGCAGTTTTTGTTGAATTTTAACTACGAATCAGAAGACTTTCAGGTAGTGGTAACAAAACCGCTTAGTTACGGTGATTACCAGGCCACAAGTCTGTGCAAATATGCCAAGGTCAGCTAAGACAAGATCGTACATGCTGTTTGTACTAATGATTATCTTTACGAATCCATTTCTTGACCGAAAAGATCTATTGACTACATTGAAGTTTCCGTGGTATCCCCATTAAACAAACCATTTAAAATGTATTCAAGTTCATGATTATATTCATTATAAATTTAAATACTAGAGAAGATATCTGCTCAGAAGGGGTTAATGGCAATCCAGCGGCTTACGCGGAACTAGCATTATAAGCTATCTTTTTATGTCTTTGACAGCAACGGTAATGCATTTTCTATGATGCCCGGTAATTTGGTTATTAATGATTCATTTCCGTGTCGAGTGTCCCCAACAATCTCCAGTACCGATCCCAAAGTAAAACCCAGTGAGCCGGCCTTCTCGATTAAATTTCCAGTACCATTTAAAACTTTTTCCTTAAAGTTCACCAAGTGTTGTAAAAACGCCATAGATATGCAAGCCTGTAGGGAAAATACTTTTTCTTTTCTAATTAGTAAGTTCTTAGGTTACAGCGAAAGATTCTCACCAAGAATTAAGACAGCGATCCGCATTGTAAACTCCGCTTGTTAGCAACGTAATGTAGGTAACTGAAATTGGTTGGATACAGACCCAACTAAGGCCCTTCTAAGTTACATAGCATGGTAATTGGAATTAGGGTTCAGACCAGACTTTTAAATACCATGACCCTGCAACCAATAGCAAATTTAATTTACCTAAAAAATATTAAGCAAAAATGAACTGTGTAAATGACATTTTTCTAACAGAGCCAGATAACCTGTTTGCTATTTGAGGCTGAAACAATGCCTAATTTGTATGACTAAGTCCAGACTTTACTCGAAATAAGGTTCATTAAGGTTAAATTAATTGAAACACATTTTCAGTTAGCTCTCAGCTCTCTCTGCTTTTTATTTGGTGCTGATGCCTGGCAGCCATCAATCCCTACTAGCTCTTCTTACGATATCTCGCATGGGACACGATCCGATTCCTGCGAAAGTTCTGGCCGACGGAGGCTTATAGACCTTGGGGCAGTAGGGCGGTACACAATTCATTGGTGGTGGGCAGTAGGGTGGCACACAGGCCCGTGACACTCTTTCTACGTTTCCGGCTATGCATTTGGGAGGGTTGCATTTTTTTGGGCAATATGGTGGCCAACAAGTTGGTGGCAATTGGCATGCGGGTGGATAGCAGGCTGGATAGCACGATGGCGGGACACATTTGGGATCACACTGGGGTTTTACGCAAGGATAGCAGTAGGGTGGTTGGCAGATGCTTGGGCAGAAGGGCACGTAACACCAAGGAAAGTAGGATCCGTCTGGGTATACCAGTTCCTTGGACTGGTGAGGCGGCGATATCATTGCTGGAGGTGACGGAGGAGGTTTTGGATTTTGTGATGGCTTAGCAGGAGGAGGGGGTGGTGGAGGCGGTGGCGGTGGAGGAGGTGGGGGTGGATTGCAATTTGGATAACACGAGGGATAATATGTGGGAGGTTTTGGGCAAAGCAGGTTCACTTTCTTTTTCAGAAAACTATACAGAAAACATCGCCTTGATGATGCCCTATGCACCTCTTCGAGAGCTTTCCCCAGTGCTGGAACCCATTCAGATCCATATTTTGTTCCAGCATTGGCTTCTGCAATGGCTTTTATCAGGCCTTTGGTAAGCCTCTTTAGTTTGATGTGATCCTGGGACCTACCCGGCTGTGTGCAAAGCATACCTAGAAATTGATATATTTTTAATTTGGTCATGTTTGAGTACCACATAGTAGTTAATATTTAACTTTTAAGTCTTACATATTAGCAGTAAAAACAACCTGCAGACTCCGTTCATTGCAACAGTGTGGCAGATTCCATTAAACCTGATACCTAAAGAAATTATTCCATGCCTAATACTAATAATATTAGAAAGTCATGCTTTGAAAAGCGATCAAATCAAAAGGGGCACCTCTCAAGACTCTCTTAGATAATACATACTAACGTGAGTGCTAGTCTTGTATTTTATAAAGATATATCATTAAAAATCAAGATTTTAATAATATAGATTATAATAGATAGAATAATACGAATGATAGGTAAATTATTGAAAAGATTTATGTCTAAATAAATTTCATGATTTACCATTACGTTTCATTTAAGGAATTCGAAGCTTACATTTTTATTATTTGCCTGGAGTTTTTTCATTTCTATAACACAAAGCATCGCCAGTGTTCCTACAGTTGCCTCATCTTGCTGACCCCGTTCAAGAGTACCTAACCAGTTTTCCAACACGAAAATCTTTCCTTTCACTTTTACGATTTAAAATCCATCAGATTTGCGGTCAATGTGATGAATCCATTATTTAGACTTTCAGTTCGAATGAAAATTGTTTTTGGAAGTCTAAGGAGATTAAAATTGGTTTCCTACGAGGTTTCTTTCTCAGATAATTCAATAAAATACTACAACTGCTTCTTTGGAACATTTCTAACATTGTACCTAATTAGAAATTTGTTTTATTCTTTGATTACATTAAGCTCCTTCATTTTGAGAAGAACGCACTTCTTTACGTCGGGAGCATACGCTGTCCTGGCCATGCTACGTTGTGCTGGCTTTGAGCGGTTTATTATAATGGTCGCGTTGGAACTGGGATTCTTGGCTTGCTTCTGATATTTCTCCAACGATTTCTGATCCTTGACAATGACTACCGTTATGGGCGGCATTTCAATTTCGGGCATGCTGATGTTGTTCTTGATCGTGTTAATATTGTTAATGCTTTGGCCGACAATGGCCTCTAAGACTGCATTCTCTTTGCTTCCCATTTCCGATTGGCACAATTTGAGGAGTGTGCCCATAAATTTGTTACCTTTTTTGTCATTCTCCTTGTGTTCTATAATTGGCTTAGTTTGCGGTATGGAATCTACGTTTGCATCCTCTTTGATAAACTTATTATGGAAGTGACCAAAAATTTTGTTCATCACTTTCGATTTCACATCCTTAAAAAATAAAAGTGGGTTAGCATTTGAAACGTGGACCATATAGAAAACTATGGGTAATATCCCTAAAAGTAATCGTAATAAGATTATTGTTTCGTGGACCACTTTATGAACTGCAAACTTACATAAGGAGATCGTAACAAGTCGCATTTTGGAAAGTTTAAAGGGAACTGAAATGCGAAAGATGTGTATTTCAGACTATAAATAGTTACTGTCGCCATCTTAGTCACGCGATTACCGCACATAATCCATCGGGCTATTCTCACCTTTCACGATTCAACTTAAATATTTCGAATTTCTTCTTTAGAAAGTGAACGCAACCTCAGTTTTAAAATACAATTCGCTTAGAATTCACATGGCTTAGATGCTTGTACTGCACTATGGTGGGAACGTCCTACCAATTTCACCCCATAACCTCATAATCTAATCTCTGTTCTGAATGAACTGCAAATTCTACAGAAAGGAAGAGCAAAATAACTTATTTACAGAACAAAAAAAAACACTGTTTCCTTCTTTGCTGGTGGTAATGTTAAAGGCCTTATTAAATAGGGTTTATAGATTCAACTCTAGAAAAATACAACATAAGTGGACAGTTAATTAAAAAAGACTAAAATTATGGTTCAGATCAAGGAGATTTATTCTTATTATTTATGGCCTAAGCCCATCATTGATTACATTAAAAATATAAATACATAAATTAAATACATATTCTATATACGTTTCCATCCAAATCTAAATAATCCTATACTTTTTATCGCACAGAAAGTTCCGGTGTGCCTCATACAGTTTATAAGGGTAATCAAAGGGAGTATGCAAAGGAGTGCTTGATGATCTACGACAAGGAGACGGGCGCTATCACAATAGAGAAGCTGAATCACAACATTCAAGTGAAGAAGACAAGGTAAGTGCTTCAAGTTTTGAGGTAAGGAACTGCTGAAACAACTTTTGTTCTTGCAGGAGCGAAGTAACCAACAAGCCAGTTCTGCTGCCAGCGCAGAACATGCCTGTGAATATGGGTCAGGTCCACAGTCAGGGTACAAACGGAGCTGGTGGAGCACCAGCATCAGCTCCTGGCCACGCATCCGGTCCGGCACCCAAAATGGAGAACAGCACCATGCGAATCTCATCAAAGACGAAAGTTTCCACGGGCAGCCGCCGAAATAATATAAGTGAGTACCAAAGAAATTAATTAACTCCATTAAAATACTTATTTTTTCCTTCTAAATTGCAGTTGACTTCAAGCCGCGCAATTCGCCCATGCAACAGAGCTCACCATCGCGTCCAGTGCCTGTCCATCGCAGTCCACAATCTGCGCCAGCGTAAGTTTTTCTACCAGTAATTTGGAATAATTAGCACCTTACCATTTAACCATTACCCTTTTAGTTGGGATGCAAATAATGCACAGCAGACTTTGCCCAGCATTCCGATGATCACCGACGACGATGACTTTGGATTGAGGGCAGCCCTGCACAACAGCGGTCATGCGAATACCTCAGGTTCCTCGACCGGCTCGGCAGCTGGTCAGCCGGACTTTGGATCCACGTCCTCGTCCTCGCACATGGGCAAGCAGCGGCAGCCTCCTCCGCACGGTCATGGCAAGCGCCAGCAGATGCACCAGCGTGCAAGTCCACCAATGGCCCAGCAGCAGCAACAGCACCACCAGCAGCCATATGGTCGTGGATACAACGGTGGCCTCAACCACGCACAACAGCAGCAACAACGGCAGTCGCCCCAGCAGCGACCTTCGGCCTATGGCCAGGCCAATAGTATGCCCATAGACTTGGACTCCGGCAGGGAGCATGAACTGACCTCGCAGTCCGTGGCGCAAGCTGCTGCGGCTTTGGAACAGGTTAGTTAAAGGTCTAGTAATGCATGTAATTGGTCTAAGTTTGTTTGGTTACTTATTTACAGCAAATTGGTAATGAATTGAGTGCCTCGAGCTCCAGTTCTGATTCGGATTCCAGCGATAGTGACAGCGGCAGCGACTCTGATGACAGTACCGAGGAGGATCGTCCAATGCAACGGCAGCAGCAGGAACAGGACCACCAGATGTATCAGAATCATCACCACCAACAGCAGCAAATGTCCCAGCAGCACCTGAACCAGCTGCCTAACCTAGGCCTGGGTTCAATATCACCAGCCTATAGCAACAATCATCACCAACAGCAGCAGTTGCACCATCATCAGCAGCAGCAACAGCAGAAGCAACAGTCCGGCATTTATGCGTCCAATGGTGGCTTTCCAAACGATTTGCTACAAAACGATCTGCAATTGTCGTCCAACTCGTCAGATGATGATGACGATTAGCTGTCTTAGGTTTGATCTTATTTGCCTGCTTTTGACAAAACCAACGACAACAAGAGCAACAACAATTATTGATATTCTGTCTATATGCGTGTAATTAATTTGTAATTATTGAGGGGTGATTTTACTTGCTAGTGAAATTTTTATAAATAAATCTTAGTTCTACACCACGATATACACAAACATATATTAATTAATTTTAAACACTAACTTTAGACCTTCCAAATGTGCTGGTAAACATTGAATTAAAACGAGAAAGAATAATCAAATCAAAAACACAAATCACAATCTAAACCTATCTTTGTCAATACATATTAGTTTTAAATAATAAATTAACAATTGTGTAAAACTTGTTGGAATACCTAAATGAGATCGCATGCAAAAATATACAAATATATGTACCAACAATAACCAAGAGACGAATCGAACGATGTAGACGATGCAACTACGGAAATTATTTAGTTTTTAATAAGAATTCTGCAAATCTTAAATATGTATTTTAAGTTACCAAGATGGAAACTGACCACGCGGATTTTTGCCATTAATTACGCATTTTAATCTAAGCCTGAAAATTATTTGAAAAACAAATTCAGATACCAAAAGCGAATAGAAACATTTTGTTTTGTTTCCCTTATTATTTCGCTCATTTTATACAGTCAAGATTTATTTAATATTTTCAAAAGTAAAATTACTTTCTGAATGTTCGTTTTTGATTAATTTGTTAGCTATATATTTATCATGATTGTATTTTAGCCCCTTATCTTTATTAGTTACATATTTGTGCGGTATGAAGACACTTATGTTTTTAGCTCATGTTTTATTTGAATTTATTTGTAGTTCTTTAATTATTTTTTAATATATATATTACGATTTTGTTATGAGCTTGCAATAGTTAAAAGCAACGAAAGGAAATAAATGTGAAACGAAAGAACCGGCCTGGTGAAAGCCATTTTTGTTTAATGTCCACTCCCCCGAATACCCTAAGAATTTGTTAAGATGCTGAGGAGTACAGTACTCACTCAAAACACAACTCCTTCCAAATGTGAGCGTGCCGAAGTCCATACACACACTTACTGATATCGACACTATTTAATTTGCCAAGCCAACAATGAAATGTATTTATGAAGTACCATCCACGAGAGAAACGACCAATATCTGAGAAAAGTCAGATCGAAATGGAGATAATACCAATTATTTTTTGTACATTCTACATGAACATATGTCTAGGGTTAAATTGTATTTCGAGCTGGCAGTTTTGAAGTTGAGTTTTCGAAGGATTCACTCTTCAGAGCACCAGGAACTAGAATCGAGCATCAATACCAACACCAAAAACAATTACAAACAAATCAACAGAAACTTAACGAAAACAACAAAATGATTTAGATAATCATAAGCACAATATACATATGCAAAAAATCTAGAACTAATTATATAACTAATTCTGTATAGAATCCGAAAATGCCTAAGATCACAATGAAATCAAGCAAGTAACTTAGTCTAATTGGTAAGCAAATAAATATATATTATATACAAACATGCATGTACACGACTTTATATACAAACAAATATATGAATATTACTTTCAGTTAAATTAGTTCTAATACCGACCATTAAACAGTCAACAAATCAAATAAAAAAATTAAACCTGCTTATATTATGATTTCGGGGGGTTTGATAAATGAGGTAAGATTAACCTGGCACATGAAAAGACTTACTAAAGTGAAGGTCAATTTTTTCTTTAGAGCTTGAAATGGGAAATTATTTTTATTTTGTTCGCATAATAAGTTTAAAATAATGTAATCTTATGTAGTCAAACTACATTACATGATTTTTTTCTGAAGTTATAGTCCATAGTTGAAAATAGTTTTGCAACAATCGAAATAAAAAGTTTTTATATGATAACTTTTCATAATGAAATTAAATTTTTAAGGTAAGACGATCATTACATAAAAATATAGTTAAATTTATTAAGGTACGGTTTTATTATAAAATACAAAAAAATATGTATATAAAATGATAATTATAATTTCTATAATACCATAAATAAAGTAATTTAAACAGGAATATTTAAACGAGGGTATTATATAGTCGACTTTCGAAAACATGCCTTCTCCCACGCACTTGTATATTAATATCCGAAGGTATTTTTCACCGGTCGAAAGGCGGTCACACTGATTAGTTCTTCGCGTATTGTATCAACAGGTGTTGATTAATTGTCAGAAAACCACGAAATGGGTGACGTTACAGGACTTAGCAATGCCGAAGCCGACGAGCTGTGCCAAAAGCCGGACGCGTCCACCAAGGTGAGTCAATCCCAACAGGCACAGCACCTTACTATGGACTTTCTAATACGTCGTCGCCACAGGACTTCATGTTCCAGCAAACCATGTACCGCATTAAAGACCCGCGCAAGTCGCTGCCCTTCTACACGGGCGTCCTCGGCATGACCTTGCTGGTGAAACTCGATTTCCCCGAGGCCAAGTTCTCGCTATACTTTTTGGGGTAAGTTCAATAACTGCAGCTTATCTCGATACGTGCGATTCGACGTAATATAATGACAATTGCTTTCTAATCTGTCGCAGCTATGAGAACGCCGCCGATGTACCCAAGGATCCCAAAGAGCGCAAGAGCTGGGCACTGACCCGCAAGGCCACCATTGAGCTGACCCAGTAAGTATTTAGAATAATAATAATTCCAGGTTGTCTATATCTGAAAGAGTTAATAGTAACTAAATTCGTATATCTCTTAGAACAGTAAACTTAGATTCATATGTAGTAGTGTGATCAAACAAAATGCGATGTCCCCTTCGGTCATGATAAAAACATATCTGAAATCCTTATACATAGTTCTTAAACTACACTCTAATTGCTCATTTTTGCTAATATACAGACGATTATTAAGACGGGTAAAATCAATTCTCTCAATCCAAGTCCCTATATATTTTTGAATTTTGTATGATAACTTTATGGTGGTTTGAGTTAAATAAGTCTTGATGTAGTTTTATTGGCAATTGACATTATAATTACACACCTGCTATCTTTATACCTCGAAGTCGTTGATTTTTTTTATAATAATGCACGTTGATAAGGATGTAGTATGCAGCTAAAGGAAGCGTTTCCAACCGATAGAAAGTATATATATTCTGATTGGCGACGATTAAGCCGTCTGCCCGTCTGCCCGTCAGCCCACCACAGCATATGTTTTTCTCAGCATCAGACTAAGTCCACTCATTTCAAAAAGTAGCGATAGTAAAATTAACAATTTTTTCCAGCTAAAATATTATGTTATCGATCGACTAAAGCGCTTCTTTTTGAGTTTTTTTTATTAAAAGTATTTAATATATCTAATAATTTACATAACACTTCAAATAGTCGGAAGATGGAATTTTGATTAGGGAAATGTTTTTAAATAAAGTAAATTTTAGTAAGTGTAACTTCGAAATTTTTGGTTTCCTTAAAAAACATGTTGAATGGAATTTTGTAAAAATAATAGTGGTGATTATCTTTAACTACTTTTTCGTTTAATTATAGCAACTGGGGAACTGAGAGCGACCCGGATCAGAGCTACCATACCGGAAACACTGATCCCCGTGGCTTTGGGCACATTGGAATCCTGGTTCCCGATGTATACGCCGCTAGTCAGCGGTAAGTGGTGGTTACTGAGTCGTTTCTACCCTCTTATCATAAATTTCCTATTTTTCCGCAGCTTCCAGGAGCTTGGTGTTGAATTCGTAAAGAAGCCTGATGACGGCCGCATGAAGGGACTGGCCTTCATCAAGGACCCCGACGGCTACTGGATCGAGATCTTCAAGGCCCAAACCGTCTAGTCTGACTGGAAGATTTATTTAATGTTATTAATTGTGCATCTGCTTTTGTTCCTTAATTACCTGCGCTACAGCCGAGGCGCCCAGGAGTAGTCTCCCAAGTGGAGTCGTAAAAATAAATCAGAAATTGTCTAACAATTGGGCCGTGGACCTTATTCACCTGTGTGCACCTGTCGCAGCTGCTGCAGCTGTCAGCTCAGTCCCCAAAATAATTGGCTCCAATTCCTGTGTCCTTGCCGGCTTGGTATTTTCACACGCTAATTATTATTTACATCGCGGACAGCCGAGCTTTTTGATAAGCAAATGTGTTACTCACTTGCACATGGGGTGTTTGCCCAGACGGTCTGCGAGGGTCCTGTGGTCCTGCGAACACGGGGGTGGTGGCTGTCCACTAATAATAGTCAAATATGGGAGCGCGTTATTTGTTTGGTGTCGAATATGGCGTTTTGCAATTTAAGGTCGTGTATTTGGCCACTCGAGAACAGTTCTCGTCCGGAGGTCGTACTGCGAGTGTCCCTAGTTTGGCAACAATATGGAAATATCCCAGCCCAGCATCGGCATCTTTTACATCAGCAAAGTGTTGGCCCTGGCTCCATATGCCACGCTACGGAACGCAAAAGGCCAAGTGGAAATTGCTCGCAGTTGGCTTTTCACGGTTTATTCAGCCACTTTGGCGGTGGTAATGGGTGAGTAAGGAGGTCTAGAAAAGGATACCCTCTCTTGACTGATAGCTGTCCAAATCTGCTTAGTTTTCCTTACCTATCGGGGTCTTTTGTTCGATGCCAACTCCGAAATACCCGTGCGGTAAGTACTCCTGGCTGTCCTTATGTTTGCTTTTTATAAAGTACCCAGTCCTGTGCCGTTTCCTTAACTAATCTGTTTCGTGCTTGTCTTGTCCACGGGTTTCAAAGTAATGGCACTCTTTTCGAAGTTCCTTCTTTTGAAGCATTTGTTTTGTATATCTTCAAATATATAACTTTGGAATAACTTAACTATTTCGATTCTGATGAGAAGGTTTTGAATTGAACGATCGGTGCAATTATTGTGATCCCTGTGGTTTAGCCTATCTCGATTTTTCTCTATCTAATCATCACCCTCTGCTCCCTTCTAAACACATTTGATCTTGACCAATTAATTGCTCTGACAATCTGCAAACAAAACCAACACACAAATCAAAAGTGCATCTTTTAGAATGAAGTCGGCTACGTCGAAGGTAGTGACGGCCCTGGACGTTTCTGTGGTGGTCATGGCCATCGTATCGGGTGTATACTGTGGGCTTTTTAGCCTGAACGACACGCTCGAGCTGAATGCTCGTCTCAACAGGGTGAGGTCACAGTCGCAAAAAGCACCCGTCCCTTCCACTTATTTAAGCCGTGTTGTCCATTTTTCAGATTGACAACACCTTAAATGCCTACAACAACTTCCGAAGGGATAGGTGGCGAGCTTTGGCCATGGCCGTGGTCTCTCTAGTGGCCATATCCCTTCTGGTCGGTCTTGATGTGGGAACTTGGATGCGCATAGCGCAGGATATGAACATAGCCCAATCGGACACGGGTAGGTAGCCTTTCACATAATAAGCAATACAATTTATACGGCATTGTACGGTAATGTAAGCATTTGATAAAAGTTTAATACATATTTGCATGTACTTAAAAGTCTAAAGCTTAGACATTTTGGTATGATAGAGTTTGAAATTATAAAGACAAGTACATATGTATTTTGAAGCTTATTTTGTAAATTCAAAGAGTATTTTACTTTTTACTCTTATAGTTAACCTACCTAGCTACCTACCTATGTATAAACTCCATATTATTGAGAATGTATAAAGCGCAAGATAATTTTGGTATCATGGTGTGATAATATTTTCGAAAGATTCTTTTATTTATGTTTTTAGAATTAGATCAATTTGTTAAGAAATAATAATTATTTCTAACAAATAATAATTTCTAACATGGACAGTGACGTCACCTTGAATGAGTTAAAAACTCACATATAAAGTTAAAGGAACAGACGGCGTTAGTAAAAAATGTACACGGCAAGAATTTTGTTATTGGTTAACAAAGGTATAGAATTTTAAGAAGAACTTTACATCCCATTTTCAAATGATGAACATAAAACAAAAAAAAGTCCAATACGAATGCTTATTCTCTTCTTGTACTTTGAATAGAGCTCAACGTCCATTGGTATATTCCATTTTATGGCCTGTACTTCATCCTCACCGGATTGCAAGTGAACTTTGCAAATACAGCCTACGGACTGGGAAGGCGTTTTGGGCGCTTGAATCGAATGCTGTCCAGCAGCTTCCTCGGTGGTAGGTGGTATAGAAATCTTGCAGGACCATTAATAAATTTAAAACCAATCCCACAGAGAACAATGCCTCCAGTGCCATTAAGCCGCAAAAGGTTAGCACAGTGAAGAACGTCAGCATTAATCGCCCTTCGATGCCATCGGCGCTGCACGCCAGTCTGACTAAGCTAAACAGCGAAACTCTGCCCAGCGATTCCCCAGGTGACAAGGCAGCCGCTCGCAGTCTAATCCTCAACGTGGAGTTACTCAAATTGGGTTATTTTCCAGCCAAGAACAAAGGGCTGCTCCTCAAATCATTGGCCGACAGTCACGAGTCACTGGGAAAATGTGTCCTGCTCCTATCGAAGTAGACTTCATTGCATTCCATTCTGTCCTGTTTTTCACTCTTAGCTTTCTTGATAGCTCCTTTGGCGTTGCGGTGCTGTTCATCCTGGTGTCTTGCCTGCTGCATCTGGTTGCCACCGCCTACTTTCTGTTCTTGGAACTGCTGAGCAAGCGGGACAACGGATACCTGTGGGTGCAGATGCTCTGGATATGCTTTCATTTCCTGCGATTGCTCATGGTGGTGGAGCCGTGTCACCTGGCTGCCAGAGAGTCCCGCAAGACCATTCAGATTGTGTGCGAGATCGAGCGGAAGGTGCATGAGCCCATCCTTGCGGAGGCCGTCAAGAAGTTTTGGCAGCAGTTATTAGTGGTTGATGCCGACTTCTCAGCTTGCGGATTATGTCGCGTCAACCGCACCATCCTTACATCGGTAATGATCTCTAAATAATATACAAACTATTTATAGTTATACTCCTTTTCGTTCCAGTTCTCCTCGGCCATAGCCACCTATCTCGTGATACTCATTCAATTCCAAAGGACCAACGGCTGAGTCATGGAATCAGATATTAGATATACAAAAAGTGGCTTCTTTTATTAACACTATTCACTAAACGGAGTTCGGGGATATTTTTAATCTGTTAAAGTGTCTATGTGCTTATGTTTCAATTTAGCAAACAATAAAAAGCAAAACTGTTTATCTTAGAACAATTATCTCTGAACCTTCTAAAATTCACATTTTAATATCCATAATCTCCTCCCAATATTACACCTAGCACTATCCTGTGGATCTAGAAACCCTTCTGGTATTGCTTAGTCTCCATCCGCTGCTGCAGCAACTCCAACTGTCGTTTCGCCTCACACTGGGGGAAGTTGTTAAGGTCATAATATTGGGGCGCAAGGGTGATCAACCATTCAGCTATAATGGAATATTTTATTACCAATGCAATTCTAATAATACTAAAGCAGAGACAGGACTACTTACGCTTTACATCCGTGACTGTGCGAATGTAGTTTTTAGTGGTCAGTACAAACTCATTGTACATGACCCAGTCGGGCTTGTGGTCCAAACATGTCGACGGATGCAACTGCACATTCTGGTTATCCTTGATGGTCAGATAGTGACCTGTGCGCTCCAGGTGGGCCACCTGCATAAAGAAGCCTTGGACGAGGGCCTTACGTATGTTGACATAGTAGTCCTTCGAGGTGAACTCAGTGCTCGTGCGACGCAAGCTAAAGCGGTCCATGATCCTGGAAAGCTGCTGGCGCACATTGTCTGCGCTCTTTAGCGAGCGGAAGTTAATGAAGTTCTCGTAGCACCAGTTTGGATCCTCACTGCCTGTTATCATCATAAAAATCAACATTAAAATATGCCAAAAGAAATATTTCTGGATTACTCACTCTGCTTGAAGGCATGGTAAACATTCAGCAAGGTCAGGTGGTCCCCGTCAATGTGGGCGAATCGCATCTTGGCCTCGTCGGCTGCTTTCTTGGCCTCGTTGGGACGAATGAAGCATTGTGGCACTTTTGGCACGTTTGAATTGGTTGGTTTTCGATTAAGCGCAAGTTCAAAACATTTTTTTTATATAAAAATATAGATTGTGCTTACTTTTTGTCAGCTAGGCAATCTAGAGGCTTGATTTAAAGAATGGTTTGCATTTGTGAGTTGCAAGTGCGTTTGGGATTTTTTAAGGTCCTACATACATCCTGTGAGGTGAAAAATGCCTTTCATTATTCCATTTGAATAATGAAGAAGAGGCTTCAGTTTTTCAACGCATGTGCAACTTTTCTTTTCGAGTTGAATGCAAAGAACAAATAAATTGAACAAACTTTTTTCTTTGCATTGTTTAAGAAATTACTTAAATCAGTCCACGTAAGTTTGTTTTGTTCGATTAAGATTAACGGAAAGTGCACCTTAACCCTTACTGGATTTTCAATTTAAAAAGAGCAAAAGACGGCTGCCAATTTAAGTTATAATTTGAAAGCAAATATCTGAACAAATTAAAGAAAGGTTCTTTTTTTTTTAATCAAAATGGCAACCGCGTTAAAGCCCGCCCATAAATCTGAAACCTCAGTGTACTCCTCAACTTATTGAAGATAATTTGATAGTTTTTTGATTCATCTCACCCGACAACATGGCTGTTATGGAAAGTATCTCGTTGGAACAGTTGTGTTGACAGCTGGCGATCAGCATTTTGGCCAGCTGCGGATCCAATGGGAATTCGGACATGACCGCTCCCAGGTCAGTAAGGTTGCCATCATCATCCAGGGCGGCCAGATAGTTGAGTAGCTCCAAGGCACGCATCAGGGTCTCAGGAGCTGGGGGATCCATGAAGTCGAAATGCACCAGATCGTCGATACCCAACTTCTTTAGCTGTAGAACCACAGTGCCTATTCCAAAAAAAGTATATATTAGGAAACACTAAAACAGGTAAAGAGTTTTTGCATTACCCAAATTGGATCGCAGGATTTCGGGATATGTGTTGTCCTGCATCTCGTTCTTAAAAGCCTTCTCGGTATAAAGACGGAAACATTTTCCAGGACGCGTACGTCCAGCACGACCGGCTCTCTGCTGTGCAGAGGCCTTCGATATGGGCGAGACGAGCAGACTCTCTACTCGGATACGAGGGTTGTACACCTTCTGTTTGGCAAAGCCTGGGTCGATTACGAACACAACACCGTCAATGGTCAGCGATGTTTCGGCAATATTGGTGGAAACCACAACCTTGCGTCCTATGGCGCCATTAGCATTTGGCGGTGGGGCTGCCTCGAAAATGCGCTGCTGTAAATTGGGGGGCAACGTCGAGTATAAGGGAATGCATTTAAGCTCGCCGATCTCGGAACCCAGATTGTCGATCTCACGCTTGATGCGCTTGCAGGCCTCTTCAATTTCCTCCTGGCCCGTGAGAAACATTAGAATGTCTCCTATAAACGAAGAACAAGGCAAGGTTTTATTTTGCAATAAAAAAGGAATACCTTTGAGCAATGATATGTAAATAAACACATATTTTCAAAGAATCGAATTATAAACAAATAATTATAAATTGTGCACTCATCGGTTCTGCAAAATATCCATTCGTTTTATGGCAAATGATTGGGGCGATTGCCTAAGTAACTAACACGTGACGGTTTTTCTTTGGGTGAGTAAATAAAGGGCACACAATACTTCTTTTCTATTAAACTTATCTAAGCTTACGGATCTGTAAGTATTTTTGTCACTTACCCTCAATTTCTTCGCACATGTGTATCTGGATGACCGTGCGAATGGCCGCCTCTAGGTAGTCCCTTTCTGGTTCGGGCGTGTAGAAGATCTCCACGGGATGCGTGCGACCGGGAACATTCATGAGTGGAGCATTGTCGAAATACTGCTGGAACTTGCCGGCATCAAGAGTGGCGGACATGACCACTAACTTGAGGTCGCTGCGCTGCCGGATGACTTCTTTGAGCACGCCCATAAGGATATCCGTGGCCAGAGTACGCTCGTGAGCCTCGTCGAGCAAGATGACCTGGTATTGCTCCAACATAGGGTCCGACATGGCTTCACGCAACAACATACCGTCAGTCATATACTTCAGAAGCGTTTTTGCTGAGGAACAGTCCTCAAATCGAATGGAGTAGCCAACCTCCTCTCCCAGATTCACGTCCATTTCCTCAGATACACGCTGGGCCACAGACATGGCGGCAACTCGACGTGGCTGGGTACAGGAGACGCCCTTGCGACCCTTGGACACTGCGAAGTCCACGCACCACTGCGGGATCTGGGTTGTTTTGCCGGAACCCGTCTCACCAACGAGCACGATACACTGGTGCTGGCTTAGTAGCCGCATGAAGTCCGCCTGGTACTCGAACACGGGTAGAGAAATGCGCTTCTTATAGAGATTCTGGTAGCGCGGTGAGTACGGCCTTTTGGTCAAAGGATTTATCGTCGGCGGCTGCTTATTGGGAACAAATCCACCCAGGATCTGCGCCACAGTGCCGGCCGCTGCTGCCGCCGCTGACGAGGAGGACGCCTCTGTTTCCCTGGATGAATATATGGCATTAAGCACTGAATTCAATTGGGAATAACACACTTACTTCTTAACCTTGCTGCCGTAGGTCTCCCCCACTTCGATTCGACGCTTCGACATGCTGATTTATGCTAGTTTGTTAGAATTTCTCAAAATGAAGCGTTCAGCACAAAAAAAACACGCGCTCAGTGTGACCTTTAAAACATACCAGCCTTAACTTTCAAAAATACCAATACTTAAACTTGTAAGTATATGATTGAAATACCACATTTATCGAAGATTTTAAACAGCTTACTGTTGTGTTTCGAAGTACATCGATAAAGTGAAGCGCCTAGGCGGCAGCTTTGAAATATGAAAAGGTTAGGGTTCTATTGAATTTTAGAAGCTTAAAGAATATCACTTTATATAAGCAATAAGTTAAATAATAATTTATTTTTAATTTAACATTAAACACATCCCATTTAAAGTAGTTTGAGTAAAATGCGCATGAAATAAAGATATAATACATTGATTTGTCTTTGCATTTTAATCTGCTCATAAGAAAGCCACCAATAGTTTTGACCTGGGAAGCAACATTTTTATTTATGGTTGATTTTGAATTTTTAACAACCAGCATAGAAATTGCATTTTTTAAAATAACGTCTTTCCAGCTTTGGTTTAAATAATGTTATCATTTTACATTTTAGTATTTTAGGTATATTCATCAGCATCAACTGCGGGCACACTATCACACTGTATCGATTCGGAGCTAAATTTTTGCAAGGATTTTAAAACGCAGAAATGTGCAACAAAGCGCTGGAGGCCGTATGAAAGAGCTCCTCCGAGATTAGGATAAATAGGACCACCATGGAAATTCCCATACAGGTGGCAGTGCGCATTTACCCGCATAGGGAGGTCAAGGAATTTAAGAAGCCCACTACCGCTGAATACAAAAATGATACGGAGGCGGAAAGCGAGGGGGCAGACCCCAAGGACACTGCCGATGAAGTGGCGGGGGCGGAAAAAGATACACCGGGGTTAAAAGATCCGAATGGAAATTCTGAGGAAGGTAGTGCCTCTGATACAAAGCCAACTACAGACACCAATGGCAATGATAAAGGACGAAAGGATTCATCGGAGTCTAAGTATTGTGTCCAGGCCATTCCTATCAGTGCTTCCGCTCTGGGGTTGCCCAGTGCTCTGCCAGGTGGCGATCCCATGGACAGTATTGCGGCTGGACTCATTCAAGTGGGTCCCCACACTGTGCCTGTCACCCACGCCTTGGCCAGCAGCAGCTCCCAAGTGCAAGTGTACCACCAGACGGTATTTCCGCTAATTACCCTGTTCCTCGAGGGCTTCGACGCATCCGTGGTCACCTATGGGCAACGTGGCCAAGGCAAAAGCTATACGCTTTACGGAAATGTACATGAGAACACCGAGAAAGAAACCACCGAAGGAGTCGTCCACCTTTGCGTCCGGGATATCTTTTCGCACATATCGTCTCACCCAGGTGAGTTTATAACATTATAATGTCTTTATAACATTATAATACCAAACTATTATTTCAGAACGAACCTATGCCATCAACGTGGGATTCGTGGAAATTTGCGGAGGTGAGGTCTGCGATCTATTGGGCATGGGAAATATTCACTGCACCAACGTAGATACCGTATTCCGCTGGCTGCAAGCAGGTCTATCGGCCCGCCAATCATTGCCCGTTCACACGCTGTTCACTCTCACCTTGGAGCAGCAGTGGGTGTCTAAGGAGGGTCTTCTCCAGCACCGCTTGTCTACGGCCAGCTTCTCAGATCTATGCGGCACGGAGCGCTGCGGCGATCCCCCGCCAGGGCGACCACGAGATCCGGGTCTGCACACGCTGGAGCAGGTTATCAGCACTCTGACGGATCCCAGCCTTATGTACGGTGTCAATGGAAATATTCCCTACGGTCAGAGCACACTCACCACTCTTCTGAAAGACTCGTTCGGCGGACGAGCTCAGACGCTCGTGATCCTCTGTGTTTCGCCGTTGGAGGAGAACCTCCCCGAGACGTTGGGCAACTTGCAGTTCGCTTTTAAGGTGCAATGCGTTCGTAATTTCGTTATTATGAATACTTACTCTGACGACAACACGCTGATCGTCCGCCCGCCAGAGGCTCTACCAGTTTCCAATCCCGCAGCTGGTATGGCGCATCCCGTACCGGGGGATAACTTTGGTTTGCAATTCGCTGCCAGCCAGTGGTCCAAACTGGTAACTAACGCCGAGGGCCTGTTTGCCAAGTGAGAGGATTCATTATATTTTATGTTAACCTATTTAAGACATATAAACTTACAGGCTGATGGACTCTAAGCTGATCAGTGAACTGGAGAAGGAGCAGATCGAGGAGTGGCTCTACCTCAAGCAAGAATGCGAGGAGTGTCTCAGCTCAACAGAGGCTATGCGCCAGCACAAGCAACTGGTTCCCATTCAAGAGGCCGAGGAACCGGAGGATGTTAACTCGGAAGTGGCCAATTCGGAGCCAGCCAATTCTGAACCTCCAAATTCTGACAATGAAAATGACACAGATAATGACTCACAGCGGCCCGATTTGGATGACAAAATAGAGAGCCTAATGGAGGAGTTTCGCGAGAAGACGGACACGCTTATTCTCGAAAAACATGCAGATTACCTGTCCAAACATCCAAAGGCGGTTATGCAAAGCCAGGAGCGTGAGAATGAGCCACAGCCGCCAGTGGAAAACGGCGAGGATCGCAAGACTAGTATCGGTGGTGAGTTTTTGGATTGCCAAGATAATTTTATTTAATTAATGTTTTTAATTCTTGCTTTAACAGGTCGAAGGAGAAGCATTCAGCCAGGCGCCAGCTTGAGTACCGCAGAGTTGGCCATGTTAAACCGAGTAGCCTCCCAACAGCCGCCTCCGCCCATCGATCCCGGGTCTGTAATCGATCCGCTGGATAGTTCTTCAGGGGAAGGACTTCGTCAGGCGGCTCTCGCCGCTGCTGCTGCCAACGCTCCCGTCGAGCAGCTACAGAAAAAGCTTCGTAAGTTGGTCGCAGAGATCGAAGGAAAACAGCGGCAGCTACGTGAAATTGAACAGACTATCCAAGTGAAGCAAAATATCATCGGCGAATTGGTCAAGAACAGCGACACGCGTAGCCACGCGAAGCAGCGGTTTCATAAAAAGCGAGCCAAACTGGAGGCCGAGTGCGACAAGGCTAAAAAACAGCTTGGCAAGGCTCTGGTACAAGGCCGAGAACAACCTGAGATCGAGCGCTGGACCACGATAATCGCGCATCTCGAGCGTCGGCTGGAAGATCTTAGATCTATGAAGCACATTGCTGGTGAGAGCGGCCAGAAGGTTAAGAAGCTTCAGCAATCGGTAGCTGAGTCGCGAAAGCAGGCTGATGATCTGGAGAAAAAGCTTCGCAAGGAGGGAAAGTTGCGCGACCAGATGGAGGCTGAGCTTCTCAAACTGCGGGAATCTCGAGAAACCGGCAAGGAGCTGGTGAAAACCCAGGCAGATTCCCCTGAACAGCATGGCCGCCAATTAAAGGCAGTGCAGGCTAGGATCACGCACCTTAACCATATTCTACGCGAGAAGTCGGATAATCTAGAGGAGCAGCCGGGACCAGCGCAGCAGGAGAGTTTGCGTCACGAGATCCGAAACCTCCGCGGTACTCGCGATCTGCTGCTAGAGGAGCGCTGCCATTTGGATCGCAAGCTCAAGCGGGACAAGGTGCTGACGCAAAAGGAGGAGCGCAAGTTGCTCGAGTGCGATGAGGCCATCGAAGCCATAGACGCGGCCATCGAATTCAAGAATGAGATGATCACGGGACACCGCTCCATAGATACTAGCGATCGAGTGCAGCGGGAGAAGGGTGAACAGATGTTGATGGCCCGCTTGAATCGCCTGTCGACAGAGGAGATGCGCACGCTTCTGTACAAGTATTTCACCAAGGTGATCGATCTGCGTGATTCCTCGCGAAAGTTAGAGCTGCAGCTGGTTCAGTTGGAGCGAGAACGGGATGCCTGGGAGTGGAAAGAGCGTGTCTTGTCCAATGCCGTGCGTCAGGCTAGACTCGAGGGTGAACGGAATGCTGTGTTGTTACAGCGGCAGCATGAGATGAAGCTAACCTTGATGCTGCGCCACATGGCAGAGGAAACGTCGGCCAGTTCGGCTAGCTATGGAGAACGAGCTCTGGCCCCTGCCACTGCATCCTCTCCAGTGCAGGTCAATAGTGATTTCGACTACGATGATTTCTACAAGACAGCTGCTAGTGGTAATCCCAGCAAGGCGCTGGTCAAGGCACCCAAACCGCTGCCCACTGGCTCGGCGCTGGACAAGTACAAGGACAAAGAGCAACGCAGTGGTCGCAACATCTTCGCCAAGTTCCATGTGCTCACCAGGTACGCGTCGGCAGCTGCAGCCGGCTCATCGGGCTCCACGGCAGAAGAATCCACGGCCTTGATTGAATCCACTACTACGGCCACGGCAACCACTACCACAACTACAACCACGTCGGGAGCTGTGGGAAAAGTTAAGGACAAGGCGCTGGTCAGCTTCAGGCCGGAGCAGCTGAAGCGACTGATGCCAGCGCCCACAGCCACTAAGGTGACGCGTCAAAAGAACAAGATTATTATCCAGGACGCCAGTCGACGTAATTAAACACGAATTTAACCATTTCCAAGGCGACTATATCAGGTTAAGCCAAATAGCCATAATCATAGGCCATGTAAGCCTCAAGTCGAAAGCTAGCCTCTTATAATAACAGAAGCGACATTTGTTTAAGTAATTTTTTCTTAAAAAGCTCAGCCGTATTTCCCTTTCAAGCATCAATATCTCAATTTTTAATACATTTTTAAAATACTTTTGTAACTTATAATTATATTTTTTTGGTGATTTAGGTTCTTAATCAAGCTGATTTGAGCTATTCTATAAATTGTTTTGGTATTAGTCGCTTAGGTTATATTAGGGCTTAGAGTTCGATGTGGCAGAAAAACTTAGCTCGGCCATAAGTACTGAACAAGTTTCGTCCACAGTCATGACACAGATAGACTCGACACGGTTCTCATTCTGACTCTTTAGCCGGAGAGCATTTATTTTACAAACGTTTACAACATACTCGTACATATACCTAGCATATGAAAGTAACTACTATCCTCATGAGATTCAACTGCAAAGACTTGACCTGCTACTTAAGATACTCGCAAGACAAACCATACATGCAACTCGCTCAAAGTGTTAAAACCGCTGCACCGTTTAACTTGTACATAACTATAATGTGTTAGATTATCACTTAATTTTAATCAATTTTGTTAGTTCTAGGTTAGTTGTAAACACTATTGTGTCTTCCCTCGAATTTTAATTGACTTTCGTTACTACCCAGAATACTCGTACTCGATTACCCAAGTGTTAACTCTTTAGACTCTAACTACCAAAAGCATTTACCCTAAACAACCTAAATATATACAAAATATGTGCTAAGATCTAATACTCATGTTGCCCTTGAACTCAGCGGCAAAACTTTTTGGTTGTGTTTAACGTATTTTTTTTTGACGATTCAAACAATGCAATTATTATAGATTGCAGATTATTCCGATTATATATACATTCTTCAAATTCTTAAATGTATTTAAATATATGTATGTACTTACAATATCAACTTGTAGAAATCTCGTATGCCAAACATTCGAAGGCAAAGAAACTCCACTAAAACGCTCGGCATGGCTTTTGTGTGGATATTGTTGGATAAGCGAATAAATATATATGAGCATAATTAATCCCCATTTTATGTGTTTTATTATAAAAAGAATTAGCTGTACTTAAAAGGATCCGCTGTAACTTATTTATATTTTTATATTTATATTTATATTTTTTTAAAGCAAAATATTTTAAAATTGTGTAATAAACGTGCGAACTTCCTGTAGTATTTAAGGTCCACATTCTCGTAATCCAAATTAACGAGGTACAATTTCCCCACCCCAAAAGCAACAGGTGTGAGAGAAAATGTCCCTTGAAATTTCCCAAACAATCGCCCCTTCCTATAAGGCGGAGAGAGCTCTTCAGAGCGCATAAAAATGGCCGGCTGGCAGAGAGGAACAGTGTATCTGTGTATACGAGGGCGAGTATCTGAGCATCCGATTCGATTTAGTCTTGTTTGGACCGTCGAGTCGAGCGTTTAAGAACCGGATTCAGATAGTCGGATTTGTCGGCGAATCGCGAGAGCGTGCGTGTGATTGTGTGTGCGTTGTTTTGGAATACGGATACGGATTTGGATTCGGAAGAACGGCAGCGGTACGCGATTAGCAACACCCCCCGCCCGTCCGCCAACCGGTTGCAGTGGTGGTTTTGCACCTACCAAAAATAGTGAATAATAGTATGCAAAGTATCTGAAAGATAGCAGAGCAGAGCAAAGTATTCGTGTTTGTGTGTGGGGTGCTTTTGTGCAGAGTCGCCACCCCGTGGATTAGTGGCACCCTGCTGCAAATAGCCCACCACTCTCACTGTGTGTGTTTGTGTGTGTTAACAATTAATAATCGCCATTAAACCAAACAATTTGGTCATCAAAACTAGCGTTAACGGTAAGAAAAGCCAAAATTTTCGCCCATGTCTGGCAACTTCTTTGTGCCAGTCGTGTATGTATAGGTTGGGTACGGATGTGTGTGTGTGAGTCCTGCCCACGCCCACTGAGTAATGGTAGGCTGCCAAAACCGTAACAGGATGCTGTGGAATGATATATGATTAGTTTATTTTAGATTTTTGCTCATTTAATTAAAGCATCCTATTGATTTTTCGCCACATGTTGGGTTTTCCCAATTTGGGAATGCAAAAATGGTTACTTTCTGTCGTTTATATCACACACACATGCAAAAGGGTGTGAAAATGTACTGCGTTAAGGGAGGGAAACCTGCACTTTATGAGACCCTTAAACTTGTGTAATACAAAATTACGGAATATCTATTTTTATATTTATGTAAAATTCAGGCATTTCGCTGTCCTTTTCATTTATAAATCAAGTTTTAGAGTAAATCATTTCAGTCCCTGAATTTTTCAGCGAATTTTTTTTCGGCGCATGCGCCCTTGGAACCGCAGAAAAGCAACTCTGCGATTACCGTTGTATTCCGAATGAGTGTCTGTGTGTGTGCAACCTGTGCCTCCTGCTGCCTGGTCCTTTTGGTCCTTTGTCCCCGTCAGGTAGTTTTCCCTACTCAAAAAACTCTTCGTTCTTAAGGACCTTTTAAAATCCCTCGCAGTTTCCATGTGGCACACATACGCCGTGCACATCCTTTGTACACACATGTGAGTGTGTAAGTGTGTGCCGTGATGCTAGTGTTGGTTCAACCCCTGCCTGTAAAATCTCTGAAATCCCATGCAGCTGCCTTCGTCCTTTAGCCGCTGGTGTGTCTGAAGTTTCCACTATTTGATTTTGCAAGTGTTGCCCTACCCGCCGCCTCAGCCATTTCCGCCTGCCTGCGATATACTTTTATTTTTCCTGCTTCTTTTTCTGGATTTTCGTCGGCTCGCCATCCTGTTGCTAGGCGGTGATTCGACACTAGTTGGGCTACTTGCCAATTTTCCATGTGACTCCCTGTTTCCAGAGCAATAAAATAGTTCAATAAAATTAGTCAACATGCAAGTATAGACATTGACTAAAATTAACTTTTTCACCTTTTATCCTAGAAGTTCAACTTATTTTTCAAACATTTAAAGTTATTTTATTGCACTGTTAATATCTTCGTATCTGCAAACTACTTTTTCTGTTTTCAGTTCCTATTTAAGTTTGTTAATCATTAAGACTGAAAAGTCTAAAACGTCACTCTGATAGTTTTAGATATATCCTTTCTAACCTCCTTTCAAAGTAGTAATTCCCATTTTGAACAAATTTATTTACTGAAAACTCTTAGTTAAACACATTTTTCATCGATTTATTGGACACTTACTTTCCCATCGACTCAGTTCGGATGGCAAATATTGATTTCCACTTGGTCGCAAACATGACACAGCGGAAAAGGTTAAAGTGAACAAAGGCTGACGAACGAATATAGAGGACCGAATAAATATTTCCTTTTGTTTTTGCTGCCACCGAGAGCACTTGAATCTCAATTAGGGGCGCAGTGCGGAAAACTGGGAACGCGAATGGGTCACCGCAGTGGTTCTGGACAATGGATGCGTCCTCTGCCACTCTGACGATGGACGACCCTGCAGTGGGCCAGTGCACTCTGTAACCCTCTGCCCCCTCAATCCTCAACGGGCACCACCCTATCCTAAATTTATTGGCTCGTCACCCCAATTTTTAGTTAGTTACACACATCAAGCCAGACGGACCAACAAAAAAAAAGAATACAAAATGCAAGCATGAGTAATATGAAAAATGCTTTTGATTCGTTGATTTTACCACGCGATTGACCGAACGGATCTGCCCAGAGAGGGGTGCTGTCTCTCTGTATAAGTAGGTACATTGTACATTGTATATATACGAAAATGTATTCATACATATGCTATGGCTATGGCTATACGGATGATGCCTGGAACCGTTGACTGATTACCAGATGTTTTCTAAATTGTTTCGGTCGAGAATCGCAGAATCATTTGTCGAGATGGGAAACGAACGCTTCTTTGGCTGAATACCCAAAGAGAGATGAGCGGATGATTCATTAGTTGTAAACTACAGCCTGTTTCAGAAATTTATGACAGATAATGGCTTAGGTTTTATATAATTTTGCAAAGCAAGAACTGAACTGAAAGATTATCAGCTCGGAAACACAGATATCAGCAGTAAAGTTTATTATTCTTGAGTCAAATTTTAGTTTTGTTTTCAACAGCAATGAGTTTTGATAACCTTGAGTAAAGAAAAATAAAAAAAGATTTATTTTAGCTGCCTAAACATTATTACTAACAAAATCTTTGTTTTTAGAGAAAGTAAATAAATCTTGTTGCACAAAAATGTTGCCACAAGATAAATTTGCTTAAAAGTCTACATAAAAGTCTATTAAATGTATTTCCGACTTAAATTGTTTAAATCTTTAATGTTTTTAAAACTACATTGACTCTCTTAACGTATTGAAAAAGTTTACCTTTGTAAAATTCTCTTAACTGGACTGAGATATTATTTCAAGTTTTATTTGCCGTTAGAGGTAAATTTTTGTTAAAACCAACCTAAGTTGAGGTCCACAACCCCTGCGTTGTCATTTTGGCCACCACTAAACCTTGAAAGCAGATGTTGGCTGCAAAGCTGCTCAACTTCGAGATAGTTAACCCTCGCTGTGAATGACAGCCAGTTCATTAGGCCAATTGAAAAGCTAACATTGGCAGAGTGGACCCTCCACCAACCACCACCTCTTCCATTCTATCCAAGGGGAAGGTTTTCTTTACGCCTGCGCAACCCTCTGATCAAATAAAAAATAATAAAGCCGAGTCGTAGATAAGACTCAGCTCTCTGGCTGAATGATCCGCCTTAAATTGAATGCGGAATAAAAAATGTTCGCTGCTTCCACAATTTGTGGCATGCGCAAATGTAGGAATCCACTTAAGACTTAATTAAGCGTTAAAAAGCTGAACAATCTGCTTTTGAATCTATTTCTATATATACTGATATACACGCATCAGTATATTGAACAATTAAAGGCTAGCTCATGGATTAAAATAAGTCGACGAGATCGGGGGATCTCGGGGAGCGATGTCAAGTTACAGACATCGGGGGAATCGGTCGACAAATAGACAGAAATGTGGAATCGTGACTTCCTGCCTGTCATAAAGTGTTTTTTTTTGTTCGCCTCCAAAAGGGGAGTGGGGGTGGTGGCACGAAAGGGAGGCGCGTGACATTTTATGGATGGCAGAAGGCAGAAAAAACTAAAGAAGTTGTCGAAGCTGTTGCGTCCTCCCCCTCCTATTGGCCATTTGTGGTTTAATTAATGACATCCATCCGCAGTCCTCTCCATCCACTGCACACTATTCCCCACTTCGTGGGGTTCACTGTATTTTTTATTCCATTTGCTAATCGCTTTCCTAGGGCTTCTCTCTGCCCTCTGCGGAGAGTAGTTCCTAGACTGTCTTTTGATTGGGATAGACTTCTAAGTATGTTTACTATTTTTTATATATTTTTTGTCTTGTTTTTATGTGGTTTTTTTTTTTAAATTTATTCAATTTAGGAATTATTTACTTACAAGATTAATAAGTAAGAACTCATTTACAAGGCGAATGGGTAAACAACTATTCTATCAAACATTATTATTTGTTTTTATTATAATTAATTTATTAGTAAGTTATACCAGAGAAATGAAAACAATGAAATTAAGGAGTTTTTCAGTGTTTATCTGATGTTTTAACAATATTCTCCATATTCGCTAAAAATATAATACTAGTTGATGGATAAAAAGGGTATTAAAGGTTATATTAACAAAAAATTTAAGTATTCTTGCTTAGGGTTGCATTACATCACGTTCTGTAAAACGAGCTTAAATTATTTATGTTTTTAGGTGTTTTCCCTTTAAAAGCACACTCACCTGCAACTGTTCAGGTACTCATTAAAGCTTAGATTAAGGGGGTTAATGAAAATGGGGCTCTGTTTCACAGTGAAGGGTGGTTTGCCTAATTAAATTACTTGCATTTCATTGACTTGAAACGTGGCAGAAAGTTTAGCTATTAATTAGTATGTTTCCAAAACAAATAGAAAGTTAAACAAAACATCTAATGTCGAAAATACAATAAATAAAAATTTAACACAAACACTTAAATGTATAACTTAGAAACCAATAAACTAATTTACCAACGCTTCCC